CCAGCGTCCGGAGCGCCCCAGTTCTACTCCTCGTCGGTTGCTGACGCGCGGGCGAGAGGAGGTGGCGGCGCTTGGGCGAACGAATCGTGGTCTCTCGGCGCGGGGACAACTCTACCGTGGGAGTCTGGACGACAGCCTGCTGGAGCTGGCCGACTGCTGGGGACAGGGGCCCATGCCCGACAACCTGGACGGGGACCTCTCGCGGCGCGGGCTGGAAGTGGTTCGTCGCCTACGACCGCCGCTGACGACACCCTGTCAAGGAGCCGCGATCCTGCGGCTGCGCCCTGCCGCTGCCGCGGTGGGCAACCAGTCCTGGTCGACCTCCCAGGAGAGGTTGGCCCAACTTCGGAGGAGGAGTGCTGGTGGAGGTGCGCGGTTGCCAGACGGGGGCGATACGCATCCCGCCCAGAGGGAGCGAGTCGCTCTACCTTCTCCGGGGACCAGACCCGCGAATGCGAGGAGTGCGTCGCCTCGGGCGGCACAGTAGTTGGAGAAGATCAAGGAGGTGATGTTGAGAGAGGACGGCGACGCATGCGTTCAGACCTGCGATGTGAGCCACGACGTCGACCCGCACATTCGGCAGAAGAAGGAGATGCGGCGGCTTGCTGCGAGGACGGCCTCGGCGGGGATACTCTGCCGGATCGTCGCAACGGCGGACGAGGTCGGGCTATTTGGCGCGGTAAAGGAGGCCGGGATGGAGGGGAGCGAGCCCGAGGTCACGCTCTGCTTGGCGTACAAGAAGCGCTCCAACACTCGGTGGCGGTCGCCATCGCGATGCGCCATGGGTGGAGGGAGTGCCGCGTCATTCCTGGAAGCGGTGGAAAAGACGAAGGAGAACGGGGTGAACATCCGTTTCGGCACGGGAGACCTACCCGACTTCGACTACACGAGGGAGCTGGGGGAGGAGCTAGCGCCCTACTTCGCGCCGCCGGGTGTCGGTGGAGACGAACTGGACGCGCTCCTCCCGGAGATCGTCGTGGTTCGGGGGAGGGGGGCCTACGTTGGGGTGATGGTGGCGATGATGGGCCTCCCATGGGCACGCTGGACGGCTTAGACGACTACGGGGGACATCTTCAATGCCGCCCATCAGGTGGTTCGCGCCCCATGTCTGTAGGTCCGCGGCCAGCCGAAGGAAGTCATCCTTCACGCCTCAGTCGGGAGCTGCCCGCGGCGCACCACGAGGACATGAACGACTTCGGGATCATCGGATTCGACTTGCCCGCGGGGCTGGACCAGGTGGAGGCGACGATGGTGGAGGACATCTCGCGGGGGCCCAGGTCGCGGGCGGTGGCTGCCAGTTCCCAGGTGCACCAGGAGGCCTGCTTGGAGGCTATCCGCATGAGCAGGGGCGGGTTCAATGGCACTCGGCAAGCTCCGAATCAGGACCAGATGTGGCGAGCTGCGCTCGGTGCCCAGGAGATCCTGATCAGCAGACGGGAGCTGCCCGACTCGATTGCACGAATCGTTGGCATTCCGTCCTGGGGCCTCGTGATCCACCAGGGCGCACTGAGCATCTTCTCGGAGGTCTACGCCTGGCGCACGGAGCCCCGCGGTGGCGCCCGGGGCCAAGCGTCGCCGAAAAGGTTGAGGGAGCGGGCGGCGGCGGCCGCCATCATGCTCTTGGTTTCGGTCGACTTGGCGACGCCCTGGTACCCCACTGCGACGATGTTCGATGCAAGTCGGCACGGAGGCGCCATCATCTACACAGGGGTCACAGTGGAGGAGCAGCGTCGGGGAGGCCGCCATGCCGCACGAGGTGGCGGGACAGTCTGGACTGGCCTTTCATCTTCGTGATCACCAGACTCGCGGTGCGAGGGCGACGCCGTCATGCTCGTGGGCGACGAGATGGAACTGGGCCCTCGCATGCGGCACCCCCCGCGCATGCGTGTTGGGGCGACATCACCAGATGGAAGGAGGTCGCGCTCGGGCGCTGGGAAGAGCAGGAACACATCAACCTGCGCGAAATGCGGACGGGCACGGCCGCAGCGAGGCACCTCGCCCGCAGTCGCTCAAACTGGGGGAGGAAGCACATGGCGATCACCGACCCCATGGTCTGCCTCGGCGGCTTCGGCCAAGGCAAATACGCCATTCGGCCGATCTTGTTTCTCTGCAAGAGAATGTCCGCCCTCGACATCGGGCGCGGCAGGTGCGAGTCTTGCCGCTGGGCACCTTCGGATCGGAGTTACAGCGACGGTCCGAGCCGAGGGTCCCCGATCGGACAGGCCCCCGAGGAGTGGCGGACGGACGAGCAGGCGTTGCAGGAGGAGGTAGCCTGGATGATTGAGGCCCTCGCGGAGGCGGCGCAGACCGATCCACTCCAGCCGCTCAGAACGGGGGGATCAGTGTCCGCCGGGGTTTTGCGCTTCATGCATCTCTGCGGTGGACACGCTCGTGCCGGGGATTTGGAGGACTGGCTGATCGGGATCGCGGCAGCGAGGGGCTACCTGCTGATCCGCCACAATGTGGAAGTCGGCTTCGGGGCGGAGTTCGACCTGACGGACGAGGTCAACGCGGCCGCCATGAAAGCCATGCAGGAGCGACGGGAGGTCGACCTCACCGAGAAGATCGCGGAGCAGCTGATCGCGGAGACCTTGGGGCGCAGGCCCCGGGACGAGTCGCCACGGGAGGTCCTGCCATCGGCGTTCGTCGAGGCGCCAGGTTGAGCGGGCGGGCCACCTCTACGACCGCAGGAGTTCTCCGAGAAAACGTTGGCAAATGGAGGAGCTGTTCGGGTTCAAGTGCCACGTGGAGGCGGGCCCCGTCGTCGACCTGGGCGCGGGCCCGGTTGCGCGCGCTTCTTCCAACGACATTGACTGCTGTAGCGGAGAAGCGACTTCGGCAGCACGCTCCGCACCGCAAGATGGGCCACACGCATCGCAGGAACTACGCGGAGCACTCTTACGACTTGGGCAGGTCTACTCCGATGGGGGGACACGCGCGGGCTGACTCTGCTGCCAATTTCAGTCTCTACAAAGACGGCGCTGGGATGCTCCATGCCGAACGTCCGCCGCTTCTTGGAGTCCGCTCGGGAGCTGAACCTTCCCATGAGGAGCCGAGAGGAGATCGACGACTCGGTGCTGTGCAACTTGGCCCGTCTGGTCGAGGACGAGGAGGTGGGCCCGCCCCGTGGAGACCTAGGGGTGCACGGGCTAGCCCACGCGTGGGCGGAACTGTCGACGGGCCGGCCTAGGTCCCATCGTGCCGTCCGACCGGGGCCTCGTTTGCATGTGGCAGGTGAGGACGGACTTCAGCCGCTAGAGTTGTGGGCGGCAGTGGTGGACGAAGCCATGAGGCTGGCCGGCAGCAGCGAGGCCGCCAACGCTGCGGAGCTTGCCCTCGACGCCTACCTCATGTCGGCTGAGCGGCTCGGCCCTCGTGCGCCCCACATCGTGATCGACGTGGGCGGGGGGGGGCAAGCAGGTAGCGGCGATCAACCTCGGAGTCGCTGAGCGCGGAGAGAGGACGAGGACGAGCAGGAGGCAGGGCGTGCTCATCGACCGTGAGCACCTGACCGAGATGCTCGTCTGGAGGAAGGGGGATAGGTTGCCGTCCGACCAGGTGGTCAGCTGCTCGGTGGCCGCCCACCGCTGCGCTCGGCGGCGCGCCTGTGACTACGTCGGCGTGGCCAGCTGCCCTCCGCATGCGGCTCGGCACTCAGGCCCAAGCTACGACGCGGTGACGGGCTACCGGAGTGTGTGGGCCATCCAGCGGCGGCGCCGCTGCGCCTCCGAGAAGAATGTGCTGCGCTACATGAAGGCCCGTGCCTTGGTGGCGCCCCGCGCCCCTCTGGCGTCCGAGGAGCTGGAGCGAGGCGCGGAACGGCTCAAGGAGTGACAGCACGTCAGGGGCACAAGTGAGTTCCCGAGTGCAAGGGAAGAGCCGCCCGACGTGCCGCTGTGCGGGATGTCAGCGAGTGACAGCGCGTCGGGGGGACAAGTGGTGTTTCCTGGCGAACTATACCAGAAGAGCCACCCGACGCGCTGCTGTGAATGAATTGGTTAATGTTTGTGATGAGTCCCTGGACGTGAAGCTTGTTTTTTGGAGGCGGCTGGTGTGGCATTCGTTTTACCCGCCCACCCTGGCCCAACACGCCCCACCATCCAGGCGCTGTTGCCAGATAGGCGGTGGAGTGGGACAAAGATTTCGGCGGCTCACCCGCGACCTTGGGGTGGCCGCCGCTGTCGAATCCAGCCGCCGCCTCGGCGGCATCGAGCTCACGTGTCAGGAAAACGATATGTTTTATTACAGCTGGCTGGCGCCACATCTCCGCCGCCCTGTGTGTTGGTGAGATTGTGGGCGGGGGCCTCTAAATGTGTGTAGCATACAATGACTTTTTCGGGCCTTTGCCATTCTCACCTTCCCCTTCCCCCGCCCTCGAATCGGTCGGCTGGGGGGGGCCAGGGCGGCGTCAGAGAGCATGTAGGGCCGTACGAAATAGCACAGCGTGCGATGTGTGTTCTCCGCTCAAGTTCTCCCTCCCTCCCTTCCCTTCTTTTCTTCTCTCCGCCCACGTGCCTCATCACAGTTCTGTGGGGACAAAGGTTTCGGCGGCTCACCCGCGACCTTGGGGTGGCCGCCGCTGTCGAATCCAGCCGCCGCCTCGGCGGCATCGAGCTCACGTGTCAGGAAAACGATATGTTTTATTCCAGCTGGCTGGCGCCACATCTCCGCCGCCCTGTGTTTTGGTGAGATTGTGGGCGGGGGCCTCATTCATGATGCCTTAGTATGCCTGCGTTGCGTCGCCCAACCCCTGATCTTATGCCCAGAATACTCTAGCGACCCAGCATAAGGCAAAGTACAGATATCCATACCGCACAACCTCAAGGCCGATACGTTGGCTCTCCCTTGTGCGTCGTGTCACGAAGGGCCTGAGTTTGGTCTCCGCTGGGAACACATCTAGCCCCTGCGGGCGGGCAGCCTGAACACCTGAACACTGTCAGTCAGCGTGGTGTGGAGGCGCGGGAGCGTCTGGATGGTTAGAAGGACGTTGTCGGCGAAGCGTAGGTTGGTCAAGTAGATATACTTATCGTGCCCAAATGTAGCCTCATCAGTTTCTTCTGCCATGCTTGGATCAATGCCGCCGTTGCGTGTTGAAGAAAAGCTTTTAGCAGCAATGAACTCAGAGGATCGCCTTGCTCCCTGCCTCGACGAAGGCTGCATTAACCACTGCTGGTGCCACTTCGCACGGTGGCTCCTTGTCCGTGGTAGAGACGTGCATGAGATGCACGTAGTCTGGCTCGACACCTTGCGCGCGCAAGGCGGACCGCAAACGTTCGTGCCCGATGAAGTCGAAAAGTTGTTTGGAGCCAGGCGCAGCAACCCATGATGGTCGGTTCCACTCCCCTGCACGTTTGCGAATAATGTTGAAAGAGGAAGAGATGAACAGGAGGAAAACAGCGAGGGGACAAAGACAAAGAGGAAGACGAGTAGGAACAGGAGGAGCATGAACAAGTGCAACAGAGGGAGGAGGAGGACGAGGAGGACGAAGAAACGGAGAGACAGGGAGGATGCTGTTCCTCTTGTCTGGCGCACTGTTATGGGAGGAGGAAAGCTGAGGGGACGAACGCAGCGAACGCGGCGGAGAGAAAAGCAGGAGGATGAAGAGGATTGGGATGCGGAGGTAGAGCAGAGCGAGGAAAAGGTGGAGAGGAGAAGAGGGGAGGAGTCGGAGGGCAGAGGGGGAAGAGGGAGGAAAGGGAGGAAGGAGGGAGGAATGGAGGAGAAAAAGAAAGAGATGCAGGTCACGGGAGGATGGAGGAGGGGAGACACACGAGGACGAGGAGGCGGAGGAGATGGATGAGGAGGAAATAGGGGGGAGCAGTAAACAGAGGAAGTAGGGGCGAAGGGATAATGGGAATGGACGGGAGAGAAAAGGGACGACGCGGAAAAGAAGGCAAGGCAAGGCAACGATCGCAGGAAAGCGGAATCTGATGAAAGAAGGCGGCGGAGAGGGAGGAGGGGAAACGAGGAGATAGACAGAAGGAGTCCATGCCCTCCTCCTCCTCCCAAGCTTCAGTACCAAAGAGTCTGAGGCCCCCCGGGTATCATCTAATCCCAGGCTCTGCGGCGACCACAAGTAGACAGACCTATTGAAAAAGCAAGTCACGGACGCTTTTGGTCGTCCCCATGGCTCCTGCGCACAGCAGACATAACGCATCTCCCTCATACGGCGCTGTTGGGCGCGGTCGGTCGCTTGTAGGCGCGAGCGCTTTTCGGAGCTACTGGGCGCTGTTGGGCGCTATTCGGTGCTAGAGAGCGCCATTGGGCCCTTCTTTGCCGATATAAACTCGTTCCAATCTGCTGATATCGACATCGATGCAGATTGCAGAAGCAGCAGCAGCAGCAGAAGAAGGTTGGCTCCAGCGGGGGCCGTGGGCGTGGCGGCGGCGCGGGCGGTCTGCACGGGGGGCGGCGCACCCTGCGGCAGCGCCTTCGTCAAGGCCATGGCGTCGCTGAAGTAGAGCTCGGCCTCGTCGTACGCTCCTGCGCAGGACGGGGGAGAACCCAGTGCGCCCGTGGCATCTTCCACCCTCCTGCTCCACCCTCCTCCTACACCACCCTCCTCCTCCAATCTTCTTCCTCCTCCTCCTCCTCCTCCTCCTCCTCCTCCTCCTCCTCCTCCTCCTCCTCCTCCTCCTCCTCCTCCTCCTCCTCCTCCTCCTTCTCTTCCTCCACCTCCTCCTCCTCGTCGTCCTCCTCCTCCTCCTCCTCTCATCATCAGCAGCAGCATCAGCATCAGCATCAGCATCACCACCACCACCACCACCACCACCACCATCATCATCATCATCATCCTCATCATCATCATCCTCATCCTCATCCTCATCATCCTCATCATCTCATCATCATCATCATCATCATCATCACATCATCATCATCATCATCATCATCATCATCATCATCATCATCAGCATCATCATCATCATCATCATCATCATCATCATCGTCATCATCATCATCATCATCATCATCAGCATCAGCATCATCATCATCATCATCATCATCATCATCATCAGCAGCATCATCATCATCATCATCATCATCATCATCAGCATCATCATCATCATCATCATCATCATCGTCATCATCATCTCATCATCATCAACAACAACAACAACAACAACAACAACAACAACAACAACAACAACAACAACAACAACAACAACAACAACAACAACAACAACAACAACAACAACAACAGCAGCAACAACAACAACATCAACATCAATATCAATATCAACATCAACGTCAACATCTTTATCATCATCAGCAGCATCATCATCATCGTCATCATCAGCAGCATCAGCATCATCAACATCAACATCATCAGCATCAGCAGCATCATTATCATCAGCATCAGCATCAGCATCAGCATCATCAGCGTCAGAATCATCATCATCATCATCATCATCGTCATCATCAGCAGCATCAATATCAGCATCATCATCAGCAGCATCATCATCACCACCATCATCATCAGCATCATCATCGTCGTCATCATCATCGCCATCATCACCATCATCGTCATCGTCATCATCATCATAATCATCATCATCAGCAGCATCATCATCATCGTCATCATCAGAATCATCATCATCAGCATCATCACCATTACCATCACCATCATCATCAACATCATCAGCAGCAGCATCATCGTCATCGTCATCGTCATCATCATCATTGTCACCATCATCATCAGAAGGAGGCAAGAGGCAGGAGGTTGGGCAGGAGGGGCCAAAGAAGGAGGTCCGCCTCCTCCTCCTCCTCATCCTCATACTCCTCCGCCTACTCCTCCTCCTCCTTCATTCCTTTTCCTCATGAATAACTCCTCCCTGTCGCACCCCGAGGCCAGTCGGAAGGGCGGGCCGGGCGGTTCGCCTGAGACATCGCTACCGTTGATGAGCCTGAAGCTTAGAAACTGGCAGCAGATTCTCAAATGAACGGCGGGTCACTTCCAAAATGTTGCTCGCGTCTTCGCGCCGCGCACACCCGTCTTAAAAATGTACAAGAGCTTCACCGATTGAGGACAGGTCGTTTTCAATATGTGGCTCTCGCCTAGACGCCGCGCACACTCATTCTAAAAAATTACCAAAATTTCACAGATTGAGGGCGGATCGTTTTCAAAATGTGGCTCTCGCCTCAGCGCCGCGCAGACTCGTCTTCAGAAGTTTCAAGGGCTTCACGGATTGAGGGCGGATCGTTGGCTGTCGCCCTAGCGCCGTGCACATTCGTCTTCGAAAATTTGCTCGAGTTTCACGGATTGAAGGCTGTCCATGTTCGAAATGTGTTTCTCGCGGTGGCGTCGCGCACATTCGCTGTACAGGATTGCAAGAGCTTCACGGATTGAGGGCGGTTCGTTTTCAAGATGTGGCTCTCGCCTCAATCCCGCGCACACTCGTCTTAAAAATAAACAACAGTTCCGCGGAGTATCATGAGTACACTTCCAGAGGCACTGCTTTGGATGATTCGGGACTGTCAGGGCGCAGCAATTAACTTGAGTCGCGGCGTTGAAGTCCCAGGAATGATTTTCTGGCACGATTCAGGATCGTCACGACGCAACCACAAGGTTGACTCGTGGCGTTGAGGTCCTGTGAATTGCGTTTTGGCACGCTTCAGGATTTTCACACGGTTCTCCCAGTGGGGCACTTCCCTCAATGGAAGTGTACCTTTGTAGGTGCCTGTGAAGAGTGAGCTTGGAGGGAGGCTGTATCCCAACATCGTTGATGAGTCCTGGGTTTACACTGGTCCTCCTCATCTTCCTTCTCCTCCTCCTCCTCCTACTCCTCCTGCCCCTCCTCCTCCTCCTCCTCACCCTGCTCCGGTCTTCCCCTCCCCTCCCATCCCCGCCCTACCCGCTAACTGCCGCTCCCCGCAACCTCATCACTGTCCGTGGCCTTGCAGACTGGCCAGCAGGCTCGTCATCGGGGCGTTCCCGGTCCTATGGCAGCGTACGTGTGCCCGATGTTCTCGCACAGCGCGGCGTTCTTGCCGAACCAGCCCTCCAGCTCGTGGAAGCGCTCGAGGGCCTGCGGGGCGGGGCATCCCGTGTGCAGCTCGCGCCAGCACCCTCCGCCTCGCACTCGCCCTCTCGCCCTCTCGCCCTCCTGCCTCGCCCTCCTGCCTCGCCTCGCCCTCCTGCCTGCTCTCTTGTCGCCCCTAGCCCTCGGCCAAGATGGTCGCTGCTGCCGCCCTGTCAAGAAGGGCGAGAGCAGAGCTAGCAGCGCTGGTACTGGGCACGTGCCCTTTGGACGGGCGCTGGAGGCCGTAGCCTCAGATCCCGTGGGCGTAACAGGAGGAGGGACATGAGGAGGAACAGGAGGCGGCGCAGGATGAGTACGCGGAGGAGAAGGAGGGGGAGGAGGTTGAGGAGGATCAGGATCAGGATAAGGCCCGTAGGAGTTCGTCTGCTGCTGCTGATCGCCTGCCAAACTAACTGCCTAGCTGGGTGGGGCAGGGGGCAATCTTGGGGGTGAAACTTCATGCCGCCAAACCTTCAAGTGCGGCCCGTGGCTCTCGACGGACGCCGCAACAAGCTTACTCTGCTACCAACCCTCCCGTGGGCCGACCTTTCGTTTTCTCCGGGCAGCGAGGGGCCATAAGGTGGGCCTATGCACAGGCGTGTCAGGACGGGTGGACGGCCAAGTGGGATCCAATCGAGCAGGACCACAACTTGAATGGGCGACTCAGGAAGGTCGGGCTGACCCTAACGGGCGGATCGGGCGGAGCTGAAAAGGCAGACCAGGCGGGCGACACCTAACATGCGGGACGGGCGGGTCGGGCAAGCGGACCCTGACGGGCGGGACAGGGCGGGTCGGGGGCCAGGCGGGCGGAACCTTAGAACTTTTTGGTCAGCGGCGAAGGAGAGCGCCGACGCGGTCGAACAGTCGGAAATCGGACCCTGAAAACACTGGACCCCATCGAGTAGGACCGCAACTCAGACGGGCGGGTCGGGCGAGCTGGCTCTAACGGGCGAGTCAGGCGAGCAGACCCTACCGCGCGGGACGAGCGGGCGGACCCTAACGAGCGGGTGGAACACCATCGACTAGGACCACTAATCGGACGGGTAGGTCGGGCCGGCTAGGCGAACTCTAACGGGCGAGTCAGGCGAGCAGGCCTGAGGGAAAGGCCTGGGGGCAAGCCTAGTGTAGACCTGGGGGAAAGGCCTACGTGTGGGCCCAAGGGTAAGCCTAGGGAAAAAAACAGGGTAAGCCTAGTGAAGAGGCTTGAGAGAAAGCTTACCTTCATTAAAAGAAAAGCACAGGGTAGGCCTGGGGAGGGCCCAGGGGAAGGGCCCAGGGGAAGGGCCCAGGGGAAAGGCTCATCGTGCAGGCCAAGGGCAAGGACTATGGAGTAGGCCGGAGGAAGGCCTTGAGGAAGGGCCTAAGGCTAGGCCGAAGGAAGGCCTAGGGGAAGGGCCTAGGGGTAGCCCTAGAGTAGGCCTGCCTAGGGGTTGGGCCTAGGCTAGGTCTTCCAGAGGGGGCTCGAAGTAGGGCTGGGGAAGGCATTCAGTCGACGATCTTTTCGAAGAGACCCCCTTCCAAGAAAAACGACTAAACCTCCCGATCATCCAAACTCATCCTCGTCATCCTCTCTTCTTTGGGGGCGGCACGCTGGCCCAGGTCAGCGCTAACCTGGGTCAGCCAGGGCCATGTCGCGAACCCGAGCCAAACACGGGTCAGCGGGGGGTCGGCTCCACGTGGCTCCCAAAGCCAGGTCCAGAGCTCTGGTGGACCCCGTCTGCGCTGACCCCCCCCTCACCGTGCGCCCGTTGCAGGGCGGGCCTCCCGGTACCTGCCCTGCTTCCAGCGCGTGAACGCGAGCGCCTGCACCGCCTTGATGGCCAGGTCGTCCTGTCGCCACTCGCACGCGGGCACGACCTCTGGGGGCGGGGCTGCGACGGTGGGGATCGGGGCCGGGCTGACCCAGGCCAGCGCTAAACAGGATCAGCCACGCGATGTCGCGAACCCTCGCCGGCAACGAAGCCGCTCCCAAACCTGGGGTCAGCCGAGGGCGGAGGGAGAGCGGGGGTCGGCGCCGCGTGGCTCGCAGACCCAGGTCGGCCAGGGGGGGGTCAGAGATTGGCCGACCCTGCCAGGGCTGACCCCCGTTGCGTGCGCCCCGAGAGAAGCAGGAGCCCAGACAAACGGGCGCCATGAGAAAACTCACGGCCGGCGTCTTTGCATAGCTGCATGCCTGAGGACCCCGCGGATCGGTCCAGCTCGAGAGAGATGGGGCGGAATGCCACGAGCCACAGGGGCTCCTGAGGGGAAACAGGTTCTGGACCCAGAACCTTCATGCAGGACCAGTCTGACAATCCCGTCCCAGGGCCTGGCGGATTGGCAACCCTGTCCCTCAGGACCCCGGGCTTCAGGGTGAGAGGCGGAAAGACGAGGTCGACGGCTTCAGTCCTGATTCTTCACGACGCTGTGATTATTTGGCGACCTCGCAACTAGTCTCAGACATGTTACGATGATTACCGAATGCGCCACCGTGCCCAGAGAGACGAAGTGGAATGTCCTCAGGCCCTTCCGAGCCCTCCGCATTGAGGATTGTAATGCTGGGGGCCCACGGCCCCGAGTTCTGGGCGATCGTGGGCGCTCTTGGGGGTTCTTTGGAGCTCTGGGGATTACCCGCGTGTCTCCGCGTGACTTTTCCAGAAAGAGGGCCCCAAAGCGGGCGAAGGGGGCCCCAAGAAGCCCCCCAACAGGCCTGCGCCATGAACAATTGTCCTGCGGTTTCCAATGATTTAAAGGTTCTCGTCATTTTAGGCCCTTGACTTTCCAAGACGGCCCCAGAAGCCCAAAAGACCGCCCCAAGACGGCCAAAGGCGGCCGCCAAGAGTCCCTCAAGACTGCCCACGAGGGCCACAAGACAGCCCAAGAGGCTCCCAAGACGGCCCCAAGAAGGCCCCAAGACCCAAGAAGGGGAACTCGCCCCCAACCGAAACCGCCAGCGAGACCCTTAGAGGCCCGCAAGAAGCCCCAGGAGGCTCCTAGGTGGCCCGAAAGAGGCCCCAAGAGGCCCCCAAGAGGCCCCCGAGAGGCCCCAGCACACCCCAACAACGCCTACGAGAGGGTTCCAAGAGCCTCTCAAAACATCCCCACAGGCATCCAAGAGGCCTCTGACTACAACACAGGCAGGATGAGAGGAAAAAACCTTTCTTGACATGAACGGAAAGCGCGTGAAACCGAAGAACCAGAACCTTCGACAACATGAAGATGAACTGCAACGAAAGCACCGGAAATCCGTAAAGGATAATGGGTGGAGATCACGACTAGTGAACTGCTTTTGATATTACTCCTGATCCTACTGCTTCTGATCGACCTCCTGCGACTCCTTGATATCATCGTCCTCTGAATCCTCCTGGGAGGTGGGGCAAAAGACAGAGATCACAAACCGAACCAGTTCAAATGTCGCGCTGAACTGGCGCATGCGCTTACATGATTGCTACTAGCACCGCTGGTTGCGAAACACACGCCCATCCCACGATCTGGTATGAAAACATCTAAACGCGCCCCAGGAGGATCCCCAGAAGAAATGCAAATAGCGAAGATTATAATGTGTTTTCAACCGAGACCGATCTTGAAAAGCAGCCTGGATTGGATCTCCAACCGGCGGCAACTGTGTTCGTCACACTGTTTGAAAGTTGTCCGAACTCAGGTCAATCCCCAGAGCATTAGAAGGTACATTGGTTGTCGATGATATGTCCAATGCGTTACGACCCGTACCAAGTCTGTTTGCGCGCACAGGCTGCCCATCGACGCTCTACCATGTCAACGGATCCACTTTGAGGGTTGACGCAGAAGTAGCGATCACAAACTTCACACACTTAAAAAAAAACACGTTAAGGAGCTCAGCATACCCAAACCGAATTCCGAAATAAGCCAAACAAGGCCACTGTCAGACGAGCTGAACACTCAACGCCGACTACGCTAAGGGGCCAGCCCAGGTAACCTTCCTTGACATGAAGGGGAAGCGCGTGAAAGCGACGAGCTTTGCAAGAACGTGCAACATCATGTCTCCAGACCCCGCAACCTCCCCACTCGCATTCCCCTATGTCAGGTCGAGTTTACGTTCCGCGCGAATTCGAACGAGGCGCACCTCCCACTGGCGCATCTCGGCAGTATCCGTCTCCAGACCCCCTATTTCACAACTCACGTCCCCCTACGTCAGGTCGAGTTTACTTCCCACGCGAGTTCAAAAGAGGCGCATCTCGGCATTATCCGTCTCCAGACCCCATATGTCAGGTCGAATTGACTTTCCGCACGAGTTCAGACGAGGCGCAGCCCCCGCTGGCGGATCTCGGCAGGAGCCGTGTCCAGGCCCCAACCTCCCCACTCGCGCTCCCTATATGTCAGGTCGAGCTTACTTTCCGCGCGACTTCAGACGAAGCGCACCCCCCGCTGGCGCATCTCGGCACTATCCGTGTCCAGACCCCCAACCTCCCCACTCGCGTTCCCCTACGTCAGGTGGAGTTCACTTTCCGCGCGAGTTCAAACGAGGCGCACCCCCCGCTGGCGCATTTGGGCAGTCCCCAGACCCCCAACCCCCCCGACTCGCGTTCCCAAATGTCAAGCCGAAGTTACTTTCCACACGAATTCAGACGAGGCGCACCCCCGCTGGTGCATCTCGGCACTATCCGTCCCCAAACCCGCACCTCCCCCCTCGCGTTCCCCGATGTCCGGTCAGGTCGAGATTGCTTTCCGCGCGAGTTCAGACGAGGCACACCTCCCGCTGGCGCATCTACGGTGACGACGACGACGACGACGACGACGACGACGACGACGACGGCGACTGTCATGATAACGAGGACGATGACGATGAAGACGACACTGGCGACGACGACAATGACGAGGAGGACGACGACAACAACGACGATGAGAATGACAACGACGACGGCAACAACGAAGACGACGACGACGACAACGACGATGCACATTTGGATGATGCTTCGAGCGAAAAACATATGTTTGAACGAAATTGTTGAAAAAAAGCATGTTTGCTGCTTTACATGGTTTGCCTCTTGGGCCGCCTTGGGGGCCCTCCAAAGAATGCATCATATTGTACAGATATATATATATATATATATATATATATATTCAGAAATTGTGTATAGAAATGTGTGTCGTAACACAGCTTATTGCACATCGCACGTGTTGGAGGGTGTCTCAGGCGGGAGCCTCATGTTTGTGAATTCGACGAATTCGCAAGTTCCCTGGACATCACCGTTTTTCAAGGATGTCTCCTGCTGCGTTCGAGGATGTGTCAGGCGGAACGCCAAATTCACAGATCGGTCAGTAACGCTAGAGATTTCAAGACCTCGACGTTTAGAGGATGCCTGCAACGACAGGTCCACGTTTAACATAAAGTGCCCTAGAATAGAGCCTCCGAGATCTCGATTCTGCGAAGATGTCTCAAGCGAAATTGCCATTCGGCCTGCGCCTCTTCCACAAGGATCGGCAGGAAGTCGACCGCCCCGATCAGTCGGGCGTTCGACCGTGAAGCCCACCAGCGAAGGCGCACGCGACCCGGCTTCTAGCGCGAAGCGCCCAACCCTGGGCGCTCGCGTCGAGGCCAGGCGCGGCGCCCCTGCCTCGGAGCAGGGAACGCAGCTCCCCCCCCCAGGCGCCTCGCCCCCACTTAGACTCGGAAAGCGCAGCAATCCCGGGCCGCGTGGATCAGGAAGCGGGCGCCCCCCTGTAGGCGGCACCAGCTCCCGTCCGGCGAAGGGATGCGCCGAGGCGGCTTCGGGGCAGTCGGCCCCCCAACCGCGGGCCAGGGCGCGGGACTCCGCCGCGCCCCTCCCCCTCGCGCCCCACGTGGCCCGCCGCCCCTCACAAACAGTCATTAGGCGCGGCTGGATGGACGGCATCAGGTCTGCCCGGGCTGCTCGCGGGCACCAACGAGGGAGCCGACATGCCGGTCGAGTGCCTCACTGACTGACGCCCACCGCGCTGGCAGACTGAACGAGGCAGGCTGCCCCCCCGACTCAGCGACCCGGCTCGCCCACCCCGAGAAGGTCACCAACCCCGTGGCCCGCGAGCTCCCCCTCAACAACACAGCAAGACATACACACCGTGGCCATCACCGATGTTGCCGCCAGGTCGCTAACGGCTGCGAGGAAACGGACCCCCGAAAAAGCACGCCTCGCTCTTGCCACGCTCGAGACAAGCGCGGAGTTGGACGCGCCCGACAACCCCGAGCTGCTGATCATCATCCTGGACGAGGCTGGAATCCACCGAGCCGCCCGCCGCCACCCCTCTCTCTCTCTCTCTCTCTCTCTCACTGCACATCGCGGACGGCGCGCGGCATTATGTGGAGACGAAAAACAGCTACACCACGCGGCGCTGTCTGCCAGCGCGGACGCCCTGGGCCCAAGCATTAACGCGCTGAAAGGCCCCCGCGACTCAGTGGGGACCTCGCCGCAGCATAACACGCCACTCAGCATATGCTATCGCGCGCATAACAGCACCCCCCCATTCCCGCCCTCTATCCAAGCGCCCCGCGGCCCGCCCCTTGACCCGCCGCTCAGCCCCCCTTTTCCAAGCCGAAGGCTCGCGCCACCCGCGACGGGGCAGGCGTCGGCGGCCCCGCCAGGTCACGGGCCTAGAGACAGCTTCGCCGGCGGGGCAACAGCCAGCCCGGAGGAGGCTGCCCTCGGCAAGTGGTTCCCCTGCCTGTCCGTCCTCGGCGCAGAGATCCCAAGCCCGGAAGCTGGGCGCGGGGCCCCCTGGAGCGGCCCCCCCCGCACGCCGCCCCGCCCCTTCTCTCCTGGCCTGAAGGAGCAGGCTGAGACTCTGGAGCCGCCCCCCGCTAGGCGCCAGCGGTCCCGACAAATGGAGGAGGGGGCCCCCCTCGGACTGAGCAGCGGCCCGCATCC